TCTCGAGATCGAACCACACAGCCCATCATAACACCACCTGACGCAAGTGCACAGCCCTTGGAAAAAGACAAGCTTCTCACAACTTCTCCTACCGCCATGAACCACGTCATCCTGGCTACCCAGGAGGTTGTGAACCCACTCATGCACCGGGCACACAGCCAAAACAACCAGCATTTGAAAAAGCTCCTGCACTGCGGTTATTGATCACCAAGGAAATCATGCAGTTTTGCCACCCAGCACACCTAGAAAGCAAAGCCAAATACTCCTACTCAATGTACGTCCTAGTCACATCCACCCAGGAAAAGAAAGATCCACCCACATCTTGCTCCAACGAAACTAAGTTCAAAAATAAGAAGTGGCTGTTTCTCCAGATGCAAGGAAATCAGTGTAATAGTACTGAAAATATGAAAATGCAAGATGTTATGATACCCCCAAAGGAACAAAGGAATTGTCTAGGAATGGATCCTAACCAAAAAGAAATTTTTGGTTTGTCAGATAAAGAATTCAATATATTGATTTTAAAGAAATCATGAGACATAAAAAAATCTGAAAACCAATACAAAAAAAAGAGAAAGAAAATCAATTCAGGACCTTTTAAAAAAAAACAGAACTTCTGCAAATAAAAAGTTATTTGAAGAAATTAAAAATACATTTGAAAACTTTAAAATATAATGGACAAAGCAGAAGAGAGGATCTCAGAACCTGAATAAGTTTTTGAATAAGTACAGTCAAAATAATACTTAAAAAAGAAATACAGACTTTGAGAAGTATGGAACTCCAGAAAGTAATCAAAAGTGCAAATCACTGATATTTCCAAGGAAAGAGAAGAAGTTAAAATTTGGGAAAACCTATCTGAGGAAATAATTAATAAAAACTTCCCTTATCTAACCAGAGACTTAGACATACAGCAGAAAAGGCCCAACAAGCATTAGAAAAATATGTTGCAAGACAGAGTTCATCATGACATACACTCAACAGGCTGTCTAAAGTCAACTTGGAGTAAAAAATACTAAGATCAGCAAAATAAAAGTGTCTAGAAACCCATAAAGGAAGCCTCATCAGACTAACAATAGACGTAGCAGAAGCTTTACAAGCAAAAGAGATTGCAGTGCTATTTTCAAAGTACTTATTTAAAAAACCCATCCACTATGAATTTTATATCTTAATAAAATAAGATTCAGAAATGAAGGAGAAATAAAGTAATGAAGTCTTTCTCAGAGAAGAAAACGCTGAGGGAATTTCTCACCACTAGCCCATCATTACCAGAAATGCTCAAAGGGATTCTAAACATGGAAATGAAAAGTCAAGATTCACGATTATAAAAACACGTGGAAGTATACCACTCACAGTAATTATGCAATAAACAAAGAGAAAGAAATCAACTGGCAACAAAAAACAAATTCGACGGCCACCAAAACACAAATGCAAACAGAGAAAAAAGAAAAACTCCACTAGATAAGAATTAACATTGTGACAGAAAAAAAAAAATCCCACATACCAATATTAACCTGAATGTAAATGGTCCAAATATTCCACTAAAAGATATAGACTGGCACAATGGCTTAAATAACCATGATCCAAATATATGCTGCCTTACTGGTCAAGACACCTTACTGGTCAAGACACCTACAGCATAAAGGTGAAGAGGTAAAAATAGATATTCCACTCAAAAAGGAGCCAAAAGCAAGCAGAAGTAGCTATATTTATCAGATAAGCCAGGCTTTAAAACAAAAACAAAGAAATAAGAACAAGAAAGTCAGTATATAAAAGCAAATAAATAAATCCAATAAAAAATATAACAATCCTAAATATGTATGCACCCAAAACTGAAGCACTCATTGTCATAAAACTAATATTACTAGACCTAGCGGTAGAGATAAAAAGCAATACAATAATAGTGAGGGACTTCAACATCCCATTCACAGCATTAGATGGATAGAGACAGAAAATGAACAAAGAAACACTGGATTTAATTGGTGTTCTAGCCTCATTTGCAATTTAGACTAACAGACATTTACAGAGCATTCTACCGAGCGACCACATATTGTACATTCTTCTCATCAGTGCATGGAACATTCCCCAAGATAGACCATAGATTATAAATCTCAATAATCTTTTATAAACTGAAGTTATATTGAGTATCTTCTCAAATCATAGAATAAATCTAAAAATCAATATCCAGAAAGGAACTCTCCAAACTAGGCAAATATATGGAAACTAAACAGTACGTTCCTGAGCAATCTTTGGGTCAATGACAAGATAGAAATTTTAAAAGTTGTGGAAACAAATGAAAATGAAAACCCAACAATCCAAAACCTCTCAGAAAACCTCTCAAAAGTCGTGCTAAGAGAATTTTATAGGTTATTATGCCTACTAAAAATAGAAAGATCACCATTTAGCAACCTCATGTTTCACCTCAAGGAATGAGAAAAACAACAAAAAACAAAACCCAAAGCTAGCCAATCAAATTTAATAACAAAGATCAGAGGAGAATTCAATGGAATTGAGACCAAAAACACAATACAAAAGATCAAGAACGTGGAAGGTTGACTTTTTAAAAGATAAACAAATTGATAGATTAATAGCTAGACCAACAAAGAAAAAAAGATAGAGGATCTAGATAAGCATAATCATGAATGATAAAGGAAATCATGCAACTGAAATCACAGAAATACAAAGAAGACGAGAGACTTCTATGAAAAATTATTACCCACGAACTGGAAAACCTAGAAAAAAATCGATAAACTCCTGGAAACATTCAACCCCCCAAGACTGAGCCAGGAAGAAACAGAAATTCCGAACATACCAATAATGAGTAGTGAGAGCGAATCAGTAATGAAGAATATCCCTACAAAAAAAGGAACGGATAGATTCACAACCAAACTCTCCCACATGTATAAAAGAAGGATTGATACCAATCCTCCTGAAACTGTTCCAGAAAAGGAGGTGAACGAATCCTCTGTAACTCATTCTAGAAAACCAGTATCACCCTGATACCAAGGTCAGACAAAGGACGTACCAGAAACAAAACAAAACTATTTCTGATGAACACAGATAAAAATCCTCAAAAGAATGCTCATCAAACCAAATGCAGTGGCACATCAAAAATACAAAGACACACCACCGTCAAGTGGATTTTATTCCAGAGATAAAAGTTGATTCAACAAATACAAATCAATACCTGTGATTTATTACATAAATAGAATTGAGGACAAAAACCATATGATCATCTGAATAGATGCAGAAAAAGCATTTGACAACATTCAGCATTCCCTCATGAATAATACTCTCAACAAACTAAGTATAGAAAGCAAACATGTTAAAACACTAGAGCTACCAGAGCCATAGATAACAAGCCCACAGGTAATATCATACAGTATTTGTGCATTTTTGACACCTAAGCTCAATAGTTAGAAACACAAGAAATTTCCATCTAAATTTAGGTCAACATACAAATTTCCTTCCAAAAAATTCACTCTTCACAAACCTTCCATAATTTTCTCAGCTCTCCTACAACTTCATAAAACCTTCTACCACTTGCTTAAGCCTTCAGTTTTGTCCTATCGGTTCTCGTAAGACTCCAACTCAAAAAAAAAAGAAAGAGCCAGTCATATCATTTTGGAGAAAAATTTACTTTCTTTTTTCCCTTTCCATTTTTATTTGTTCTCATATAAAGCACAATATTTGTTCTCATATAAAAAATTATTCTAAAAAATTATTCTTTTTAATTTTTTTGCCAAAAATGCACCTTCATGTTTACAACTTTCTTCGTATATCTCTCTTTACTTGTTTTCTGCATTGTTTCTATTTTCTTGATAAGTTTACTTTTTAAAAATTACCTCCTAATTCAGATGAAATTATTCTTTTTTCTCAAAAAAAACATTATGCCTTTCATATAATTTTTATCATCTAAAACACATCTTAATTTTCTCTTTGTACGCTTTGTTAGTTACATATGCTAATTAGAATTCCTAACTCATATTAGTCTTAATTTCTAGGGCAAACCTAGAAAGCAAGCAACTCTGAACTCTTTAATGTACCAACAATGTATTAATATGCATCCTAGTTTTTAGAAACATGTATTACATCATGAAACAATATTTCAAATAAGTCTTTTGTTTTTTGTTTTTATTTTTGTTTTTGAGTTGGAGTCTCACTCTGTCGCCCAGGCTGGAGTGCAGTGACATGCTCACGGCCACCGTAGCCTCAACCGGCTGGGCTCAGGCAATCCTTCCACCTCAGCCTTCCAAGTAGCTGGAACGACAGGTGCACGCTACCACACCCAGCTTATTTTTGGTTTATTGTAGAGACGAGGTCTCACCAGGTTGCCCAGGCTGGTCTCAAACCTCTGGGGTTCAGGCAATCCTCTCACCTTAGCAAATACTCATAAAATGATTACTGTGATTATCATGACTGCTTAGAGCCAAGCCAGGAAGCTGTCACAAGCGCCACTCTCTCAGGGGCACTAAAGCATCCCTGTGACGAATTAAAATGATGGCGCTGGCTAACTCGGGGGTCCACTCATTCCCCAACCGACCGCTGAGAAGGAAAGGCATTCCATGTTTGCCAAGCAGACACAGCCCTTGGGTGGAAACAGACGCTCTCCTCGGTGGCACCTCTTTCTGCCTCCGTGGCCTCTCTTTCTGATTGTGTACTTGCCAACTGCCTAGCACAGCTGTATGGGAGAGTAGCAGGAGGACCCGATCCCAGAGACTGAGCTGCCTGAGCCAGTCGTGGAATTTGAAGCTTAGTACAGTTTACCAGGAACAGGGGACTACCCAACCGATGTCAAGTGAGTGCCAAGACATGGTCTATGTGGGCAAAGCATTATATACACATATAATGCATGTGTACCGTAAATCTCTGCTATGCACTGCAAAGACGGACAGCTTTTATTGGTAGAAAATTGCTTCCCCATCACTAAGTGAGCCGAATGAAAGTTACAGAAACTTGGGGTTTAGCCACAGTACAAGAACTAACAGTGCTTCGACCTCTTCCAGTGGCATATGGGTCCTGGTATGACCATGTGAAAGGCTGGTGGGCTGCCAAAGACAAGCACCAAATTCTCTACCTCTTCTATGAAGATGTCAAAAAGGTAAGTGGCCCTGACCCTTGAAGGCCAGAACCAGCAAACCTCCCACCATGTCATTTGGATTGACCAATCTCTCTATTTCATTGGCCAACCTCTTCTATTTTTGGCTCACTTTGTAATGCCTTTTCCCCCATGGTCAGAATCCAAAACATGAGATTCACAAGGTGCTGGAATTCTTGGAGAAAACTTTGTCGGAAGATGTGATAAACAAGATTATCCACCACACATCTTTTGATGTCATGAAGAAGAATCCCATGGCCAACCAAAGCACTGTACCTTCCTCCATATACGATTTCACCGTCTCACCTTTCATGAGGAAAGGTTGGTGATATTTCTTTTATTTGATACAGCTCTTAAAAATAAACTGCCCTGCCGGGCTCGGTGGCTCAGTCTGTAATCCCACGCCTTTGGGAGGCTGAGGTGAGTGGATTGCCTAAGCCCGCCGGTTCGAGACCCGCCTGGGCAGCAAGATCTCCTCTCCACAATAAATAAAAAAAAAAATCAGCCGGGCATGGTAGCTCACGCCTGTAATTCCGGCTACTCGGAAGGCTGAGGCGGAAGGATCGCCGGAGCCCAGCAGGTCAAGGCTGCGGTGGCAGGGAGCGGCCACTGCACTCCAGTCTGGGCGACAGAGTGAGACTCCAACTCAAAATAAAATAAAAATCATAATAAACTGTCCTGTAAGCTAAAATAATTTTATAATTAATTTTCAGGAAGAATCTATACATTTCATTCTAAGTAAGACTCTCTGCTCCCTCTGCCTTCAGTAAAAGTTCAATTTAAAAAATTAAAAATAAAAAAGTTCATTAAAGTCAATGCCACTGAGAGGTCCTCAGACTGGAGTGTACATTAGAGTCCCCTGGAGGCCTTGCTAAACTCTGACCGCTGGCCCCACTCCCAGAGACTGAGGCAGCAGTTCTGAGAGTGGCCCAAGAATTTGCCTTTCTTGCAAGTCGTCAGATGATGCTGATGGTGCTGGCCACTTAGAAGACACCATCTTTTGTGAATATTAAATCCAACTCAACTGTAACCTCCTCCCTGAAGTCTCCTGCATCCTCTGTGCAGCTTTGAACACTTTCTCCTTTGGTCCTTTGCTGACATTGCTCAGATCTTTTGCTTAGCACCTACCTTTCAGCTTTATAACTACTGGTTTTCAAGTGAATGTCCATGGTAGCCTATAGATTGCCCAGAAGAGAATATCATGCTCAGTTTTCTTCCATGGGTACCTAGCAGAGGGCCCATACTTCACAGGCTCTCAGTAAACACCTGCTGTGTAAGTTCATGAATGAATAAATGAAACATTATATATGTCATCAAGAAGTTAACAGTCTATATAAACAGAGAAATAGATGCAAACAGTTCATGTTAAGAAAGCAAGGTAAGGGCTATGCCAGTGAGTCCCAAATACCAGTGCATCTGACTAGGTCAAAATCACCTTTTGATCTCATCCATTACTGAATAGCCTAATTTATTGGCTACAAGTTAGAATCCATAATACAATATTATTATTGTCAAACACTTCAGATCAAATTTCTTCCCCAAGCATAGAAAATCAGTACAAATAAAGCGCTGGGGAAATTCAGAGAAACAATTCATTAGTTCAGCATCGATCGAGTTGCCAAAGTACTATAGTTCATCGAAGGACACTAGTTTCCAAGTGTCATTTATGAGGAATGTAGTGGTTTTAATTTCAACCAAGAAAGATCTGATCCGGTGGAGTAATTGTGCCTTGTAAGATATTTCACTGTCCCTGAGGGGATGGCGTAGAAAGTCCTCAAGGAGTCCATGGTGATAACCAATTGTAGACAGTCGGTTAGGTTCATCAGAGCTTGATTGTGGACAGGAAGCAGAACATCCAGCCCAGGTGGGACACTCAGTGGGACCTGCAGGCTTTGAAGAAGAAGCATGAGGGTACGGCGTGCCTTGTGGTGGGAGGGTTGAGAGTGAGATGGAGTGGGGTGGAGCGACCATCTGAAAGCTTCTTTGTTGTGCTGCAGGGATGCCTGGAGACTGGAAGAACCATTTTACTGTGGCTATGAATGAGAGCTTTGACAAGCATTTTGAGAAGAAGATGGGAGAGACCACACTGACTTTCTGCGTGTAGATCTGCGAGGAAGGAAAAAAAAAGACAAAAGGGACCGTGTCAAGGGTTCTGTCTCTTTTAGTGGTCAAGCAGTTGTGACTGAATGTGGAACGAGTAGGCGCTCAACACCCGTCTCCCAGGGGCATAGCTAGCCTGGTATGACACTAAAAAATGATTTAAAGTATCAACCAACCTGCTGCATAAAATCAGAGGTGTGCAGAGCAGAGGTTGGAATCATCGGGATTTTTAAAATACAAGTAGTTTCATTGTACATAATAGATAAGGCAAGAACAATCACATTACGCGTTCCCATGCATGATCTAACACAGATTTCACCAAAAAATAAGAGGTAGGCCTTATGAGCCCCTTTTCTAGGAAAGGGTAATCCTTTTATGAATAAATAATTGACTGCAAGAAAGAAGAGCTGATAAGCAGGTTTCAGAATCACAAGTTAGGAAGAAATCTAAATAAAATGCCTCTGAAAAGCTAAATCAACGGGAAAAGCAAGGTCATCTTTCTAAGATTTTATTTGTGCTTAGGTTTTTTAAACAAAAAATCTCAAATTAAATAAATCAGGCGGTGAATGTTCCTCAATAATCCTGCCATGCTATAAGTACAACTGCTTAATGTCTCTGATAGGTAAATTGAGATTTGGGACAAAAGCACCGTAACTGTGCGTTGCCTCGTCTCTCAGTAACAAGTCTCTTTTGCATCACTCTAACAATAGAAATAACCTGAGATTTATTATAAATTCCGTGCTTCAACTATGCTCCAGTGAAGATAGCTTTATATATGACCAAGTACAGTTGTCATATTAGACCTCAGTGATGTGAACAGATGCCAGCCGGGAAGATGGCCTCAGGGAGAATCAGCTTCAGTAGAGACAAGGGCTATACCCGTCCCCCAGACAGCAAGGAACATGTCAGAAAAGGGAGGAATTTGGAAAGTTTTGAATTCAGAAATAGCGTTGGAGAAATAGAAAAAGACTTTTCTATTACCATCTCAAAAGGTAACCGGGAACGACGTACAGAGAACCTAATGCAGAGAACAAGGTAACCTCCCTGTCTAGTTGTTGATCCAGAGATTTCGACTAGTCCTCCTTAAAGGCATAGCAAGAATAAGAGACTTGTTGATTACCACTGACATGTCAACGCACCTTAAGACTGGTTCACAGGACGAGTGTGCTTTGGAACTTGAGAAGTGAGAAGATATAATGAATAGAAAGCTCTGGGCCCCAGGTACTGTCCAAGTCCAGTGTATACAGAAGAGGAAGGGGCCCAAAGGAAATGGAAACCTTGTTTTTCTACTTGGCAGCGATTCTCTATTAACTGAAAAGCAATTGAACGATGTCAATAAAACATTTCTTGTACCACCCTTTGGACTCGAGTGCTCATGACCAACTATACAAAGTTTGTTTTCATCATGCAATGGATCGTACCTTGTTGGGAGCCAGCCTTGGAGGTCCACATGACTGACAGGGTCCCGGTGGGCCGAAGACCCCGGGCCGCAGGGCGAGCCCGGGAAGCTGAGGCCCTTCTGTCTTCCACCTTTGCTGTTTGATATGGCTGAAGAAAGTCTGTGCAGTTGTGGAAGAAGAAAATGGCATGTTTATGCGAAGTACTCACACCTAACCTGAGAATGTCATGGTTCATTTTCCCATTTTCCCACGATGCCGCCTGGCCTTTTCTAACATCTGCAAGGGTTAAACTCTGAAGCACATCAAGAATGCTTTCTTTCACTTTGTTATAAGTTACTAGATATTGCTTGAGTAAAAAATGATATGAGTATATTCACTCCTTATTTGATTTAGAATTATGCAGCTTAGTGTTCAGACATAAGGTTTTTAGAAGCACGAGTTTATGGTAAGTTCATTATGAGCTCATTATTAGTTCTAACACTTATCTAGGAGTTATGTAGGTGATTTACAACACTGTCTTCACAGACTTAAGATAAAGATTAATCGTTAAGGTTTTTACTTAATTCTATAGTTAAATTTTAAGTAAACGTTTATAGAGTGGGTTTTCACTGAATTCATAATATACTAATCAGACACTTTTATGATAACGTAGCTAGAGACAGAAAGCAACCTTGGGGGCCTGGGAAATGTCATTAAAAGCTTCTTTTGAGTTTTCTTTAGAAATAAACACTGCTGGATAAGAGAAAAGTAACGAAGACACCTGGACAAGAAAGGCGATTACAAAACTTTGAAGGTCGTAAAAGCCCAAAAGAGAAGAACTGTGCATCTGGGAACTTTCTTGAAGCACTTCAAGGACTGTAATTTGGGACTCTTTTGAAGAAAGTTGCTGGCAGTGCTATTCTAGACGTGATAATTGTTTTATCCATGTATTACTCATAATTGGTAAATGTAATATCATACAAGTTTATATAATCAATATTCATATGTACGAGGGTTGACAAAAATTATTAGGCTCTGGTTATGTTTAACAAGGTTTTTACTTTGTGTCATTAATTAAGTTTTAGTGCTATAGCTACTTTGAAGATTGTTTTAAGTTCATAAGTTTAAGTTCACACAATGATAAAATTGGTGCCTCAAAGATAATAATAATTGCTCCAGTGCCTATCTTAAGACAAAGATGTTTTCAAGGAGGTTGCCAAGCATAAGGGAAAACAACCAAATCACCATTATCCTAAACTTAAAAGCTCATTGGCAATTATGCAACCATAATAATTTTAGTTGTGTTAGTTTTATTTCATTATGTTTAGTTCACTTCATATGTTTATTCAGAGTAAAGATTAGTGTATGTATTTTCACAGTAAGTGACTTTCATAGTTATTCTTTAAATGCTAGCCACTGTTGTTTGGTCAAGTTAATGGGCTTCATATTCCTACTATCACTAGGTACAATCTATAGTTTTGTACTAGTGATTTTAAGGCTTTTTTAATTAGACAAGTGATGTGG